CCCTCCCAAGCTGTGCCAGGGCAGGGGCAGGGTGGGTATTAGGAGGAATTCCTTTCTGGAAAGGGTTTTCAGTCTTTGGAAGGTTTGGAGCCCTATCCCCAGTGCAGCACCATTGCTGTTACAGATACCATCTGCAGGACACTAAAAGTGTTTGAACAGGAGAAACATCTCCTGCTCCTGTCCCCAAAGCTCAGTGACAACCCAAAGRACCCAAGGCAGACATTCCAGAGGAACATTCCTTGTCCCCAAGGTCAAAGAGCTGCCACCACCAGCCCCATTTTCACCCAGCTGAGCCCTGCACACCCAGGGGGCACCTCCCACCCCAAGCACCCAACCCCACTCACACCGGGGGCAGCTCTGGGGACACCAGTGAAACAAAATAAAAAAAGGGACACAAAAATCACAGCGCTCCTTTCTGCCTTGGCCCCAGCTTTGGTGGTGCCAGCTCCCCTCAGACCCAGCTCARCTGCATGAAGCACCAGGGCTGGGCTGAAGGCAGCTTGCCATGCTGTCCTTTATTACAAACTGTAAACAGAGCGTGGGGGGCTGAAATCCCCACTGGAACATGCACAGGGAATGGTTCACAGGTGGGGTCTGAATGCCAGAACACCARTTTTGGGTGGGCACAAGGAGGAGGAAGAAGAGGAGGAGGARGAGGCAGTGGAGCTCCAGAGTGCTGGTGACACAGGGGGTACCTGGCTTGTCCTGCGGTGCCCAGGCCGGAATGTGGCTCCACAGGAATTCCAGCAGTGCAGCTGAGCCTTTGGCCAGGCCAGGATCAGGTGGGAATGCAGCTCTGCAGGTATTCCAGCAGTGCAGCTGAGCCTTTGGCCAGGCCAGGATCAGGTGGGAATGCAGATCCACAGGAATTGCAGCAGTGCAGCTGAGCCTTTGGCCAGGCCAGGATCAGGTGGGAATGGCCAGGCCAGGCTGAGGTGGCAATGCCAGGCTGAGGTGGCAATGCCAGGATCAGGTGGGAATGCGGCTCCGCAGGTATTCCAGCACAGCAGCTGTGCCCTTGGCCAGACCAGGCTGAGATGGCAGTGCCAGACTAGGCTGAAGTGGCAGTGCCAGACCAGGCTGAGGTGACAATGCCAGGCTCAGGGGCAGTGCCAGGCTCAGGGGGCAATGCCAGGCTCAGGGGGCAATGCCAGGCTCAGGTGGGAATGCGGCTCCGCAGGTATTCCAGCACAGCAGCAGTGCCCTTGGCCAGGCCAGGCTGAGGTGGCAATGCCAGACTGAGGTGGGAATGGCCAGACCAGGCTGAGGTGGCAGTGCCAGGCTGAGGTGGCAGTGCCAGGCTCAGGCTCAGATGGCAGTGCCAGGCTCAGGTGGGAATGCGGCTCCGCAAGTATTCCAGCACAGCAGCCGTGCCCTTGGCCAGGCCAGGATCAGGTGGGAATGGCCAG